TTGGGAAGTACCTACGCTATGAGTCACAAAATAATCACCACGGACACTATCCCGATAAATACCAAATCATTTAATGTAACCCCAGTGCGTCACAGTACGCTATCGGAGCTGTCTTCAGCCAGGTTGAGATAGGATAGGATCTTCACGTATCATACGCTTCAAAGGTCATTAATAAAGTTAAAACAAATTACTCAACGATAGAAAAAGTGCTACTCGATCCCGTCTTTGTTGTCACCCAACATTCACCCATTCGTCCAAAATCACTGACCACAGACATGTCTGGTGTCAATGAGCCTACGTCACGACTTTTACGATGGAAAATAAAATTAGAGAAATACGATTATACAATCGTTTATAAATCCGGAAAGATGAATGCTAACACTGACGCGTTTTCTCGGAATCCAGTATGGGAGGAAGACGAAGATAAAATTCTTGATTTAGAAGATTGCGATACGAAACAAAGTATGGCAAAACAAACTGATCAGAAGGTAGAGCAAGCTTCGCATACTCCGATTACTGAGAAACAACCAATTCAAAAACGAGAAACTATTCTGGGCGAAGTTCTCGAACTAGAACTACAAAATTCGAAGTTAGCTGAAAACGCAAAACTAGAATGCACAAAAGAATTGATAACACGGGATGGTTAGAGAGAAATCAGAGATAATATTATTTTTGGGGCCGGATCAGTTTTATGTTTTTCACCCCACAAGGAGAGGCTCTCGATACGGGAGCCCAATTACTGCAAAAATACAAGAAGATTAAAACGAATTATAATACTCCACTTGAAGCAGGAGAAAGACAAATACAGCACGAGAAAGGAACTACGTATTACAAAGCCATTTGTGATGGTATATCTCCATTGACGGACATATTTACTTTCCTGAAAAATCTTTTATTGAAAAATCACTGCAAAATTATTAATTTCTCCCACTCCCCAGATGGAATCTATACTGAAAGAAAACAGGAAAAAAATAGACCATCATTACGTGGGACCATACCAAGTAAAGCACGTTATGTCTAATAGTAACATCAAAAGTCAAGTAAATGCAAATCAAACTGAAGTAGTTAATTCTAATCGCATAAAAGTAGCTTTTGTCCCGAAAGAATACCAAGGATTTCAGGAAAAGGGAAGATCATGTCGTTTTTTCCTTATATATCCGAATAATACTAGTATAGTTTCTTTAAATTTGTCTGCCTTTCCTTCTTATTTTGCTTGTTTGCTTGTTTTTTCTTGAAATAATGATTTATAAAACAACAACTACTCAGAAAAGGGAAAAGGAAAGTCGGACGAAAAGCACAGTACACGCCGCTTCCCCCCGTCCTCGGGAAAGATTATTAAGGACGGCTCAGATCGTGAACAACCACCTCACTAATACAAGACATGGACTCCCTTGGGAACTCCAAGGAAAAATGTGAACGGCTCCTTTCGAATGTATACTTCATCTCACTACTGACGCTACGGATGTCTACGTATACTATGCCGAATTAAATCGCATCTTCAGAATTAGCATGCGCCAAAGATTCATCGTTCTAACAGAAACAATGCCTCCATTGCATTGCTGAAGCTCCAATAGTGATGGATACTGTTATATGCACAACAAGAACACCGGGAAAATTTGTACAAGGAATAATATCCGGAAAACGGAACGTTGGCTGTTGTATTCAGAGACTAACTCTAGTCTTTTGAAAAGCCTGTACGAATCTTGGACGCCTAGGACAAACGTATGCCCAAAAAAAGGATATATCAAGTCACCCGGACTTTAGCACGGACGCTACGCGTCTAGCATCTTTAGCCTTTACTATGGCCCTGTGACGCAGTGAAATCCGATACTCTGGCTGAAGGAGGTTACTTCTACTATGGAACTTTTAATTAGCCTCTCAATCTCCGTAAGAATGTCAACTCAACAATGACAGCGAAATAGACATAGATATTCACCATCCAACGATGGGAAAATCACAAAAGTAATCCGCAGCTAGAAAACTAAACCCTTCATCGTACTTTTTTTTTCTTTTTTTCAACATTTTTTTCAACAGTCTTCGCCTTTATAACATTCCAGAAAAATGAGCCACGTGAAAGTAGCCGACTTCCGCCAACACATGCGTGACCAACTATCCCCGACAGACGATCTGCATTAATCCATGAATTAGAAACCTATAAGCAGGATCTGGTAACGCTTGTTGGCAAAGGGACATCCGTTACAGATACATCACCTTCTAAAACCAACCTGAAGAGAATTCTGCGACTTAGAAGCTCAAGTCGTAATGACCACTCTCCATGAAGGGATTCACATACTTTCACTTAAAAGTACCATTCCAGAATTTACAGAAGCGACGTTCCGATTCGCACCAGAATGCAAACTCAAAATTAAAGTGATAATCCGAACAATCGACGAGCTAAAAGGGTTGCTGACATAAAACTGGAAACACACCTACAACGAAACACAAGACCCGAAATGGCCCACTCGAAGAAGAATCAACATAATCATTTCACCCTAATAATAATTGAAAATATATATACCCATAACATGCTTATACTAACGTCAGTACCAAAAAATATGAATATACTGTGATGAGGCAGAATTTTTGCGCCCCCCCCCCCTTGCCGCCTAATTAATATAATATATTTTCCTAGGCTAAGTTAGATGTAAGTCAATCGTTTGCCACAGTTGGAAAATCCCTCCCCACATATTCCTTACCCCCCCCCCCC